CTGTACTTGGTTCCCTAGCCCAGTCCAGATGGGCCTCAGATCTCAAGTGGAGCTCAGCAAAGCTGAAGCTGACATCCTGCCTACATTTTCCTTATCAGTGCTCAGATAATAATCATAACAACAACAATGATAATAAAAAATCAAATTTATGTTGATCACATCTGTGCCAGGCCCAGTGCTAAGCAGTCTTCATGAATTATCTTCTCAAATCCCCAGTGTGGGTACTAGTATTGTGCCCACTTTACAGATGAGTAAACTGAGGCACAGAGTGACCAGTAGATTGAACATAGGTGGCAGGAGGTGGCAGAGTCAGGATCTGAACCTGGGGCCTTGGCACTTGGGCTGTGTTCTTGAACCACTCTGCTACATATCCTGCATGCATGCTTGCTAAGTCGCTTCAGTTGTGTTTGACTCTGTGAGACCCTCGGGACTATAGCCCACCAGGCTCTGTCCATGGGATTTCCCAAGCAAGAGTACTGGAGTGGGTTGCTATTTCCTTTTCCAGGGGATCTTCCCAACCCAGCGACCGAACCTGTATCTCTTGTGTCTCCTGCACTGGCAGGTGGGTTCTTTACCACTAGTGCCGCCTGGCATATATCCTACCACCTTCCTGGTGGCTCAGCTGGTAAAAAAATCTGACTGCAGTGTGGGAGACCTGAGTTTGATCCCTGGCTTGGGAAGATCCCCTGGAGAAGGGAATGGCTACCCACTCCAGCATTCTGGCCTGGAGAATTCCATGGACTCTATAGTTCATGGGGTTGCAAAGAGTCGGACACGACTGAGTAAGTGACTTTCACTTCACCTTCCAAAAAGGCGGATCAGCCTGAAAGAAGATTTTTGCTTGTCTTAACTGCACAGCAGTTGTAGGATTTCCAGTCCAGAATTTGCCTCCCTAGAGTCATCATCATCCCGGTTGCCCTTGCTGTTCCCTCTCACCTGCCAGGAAATACATCACTTGTTCTCCTGTGAACGTCTCCCTGTGTTTGTTCTTTTCTTCCTGTCTCAAGGCCACCTCCTTTATCCAGGCCTAACCTGAGCTCTCAGCTATTCACACACACACACACACACACACACACACACACAAACTTCTACCTGGTTTCGTTGTCTCTGGGTTTTCCCTTAAAAATCAGGACTTGCATCCCCACCAGCAACATCTTTCCAGATCCCCGCTCTACATGACAGACCACTCTTACTTCAACAACCACCTTCAAGGCTCCTTTTGCTCAAAGGATAATTCCCAGTCCCTGAGCAGGGCATTCAGACTGGCTGCTATTTCCCTCCCCAGTCTATCTCCCACGATTGCCCTCTTTAGGACCCTCCGGTGTGGGCGGAGCTTCATTGCTGCCCGAACAAGTGAAGCCATGCCTAGCTCAGCGCCCCTGCCTCGCCCTGTCCTCCAGCCGGCAGTGCCCTCCTCTCTGTTGTCTGCTTCCCTGAGTGCTTGGCAGCCCTCGGAAGTCCCCCAACCCCTAGGATGCGATTTCAGCAGAACTCAGCTATGGCGATCCCTCCCTTCTCTGAAACCCCCGAGAGAGCTGCAACCTGGGACAATGGTCATCTGTCCAGCCTCTTCAGCCTCAGTCTTATTTATTGTAAACTGAGTATAAAAACAGCCCCTGCTTCATAGGGTTCTTGCCCTGGTTGGAAGATACTACAAAACTTAGCACTGTACCTGGGTCAAAGCCACAAAGCCTCCCATAAGTGAAAGATAATGTTATTGATAATCAGGATTGTCATTTTTATGATGCATGATGCTTTCTGTTGTTTGACTGTCTCATGGCGGGTAGACCTCTTGAGAGTGGGGATCAAGTCGTGCCATACCTAATGCACTGCCTTGAGCACCAAGGATCCTGGGGAATGTTTGTTGAGAACGGGCAAACAATCTAGAACCTGGGAATCAGAAGCTCAGTGTCAGCCCTAGCTCTGCAGGCAACTCCATGTGTGACCTTGACTTGGCCCCTTGGACTCCTGGTTTCTTCCACTGTGTATCATCCCTAACGTGCTCTTTGAGGCTGGCTTCAAATCCAAGCCCTGATATTGATTCCCTGTGTTACTTTGGGTACATTCTTGAGTCCTCTTCGCCCTCCATGTCTTCATCTGTGAGATGGAGAGAACAGCACTGCTTATTTATTGGCTGTGAGGATAATGAGATAATGCTGGTTACATGCTTATCTTAGTAGCTGCTCTTCTGGTTGCTTTATTATTGCTGTTTAGCTGATAAACACTAGACTTGCTAATGTTTTCGAATGTATGTATTTCCTGGTGTTGCCATAACAAAGTACTATAAATTGAATGGCTTAAACAAAGAGGTTGATGGTTTCAAAGTGCCACAGTCTAGAATCCAAAATCAAGGTGCTGGTTTTAATCAGCCCTGATGAGGGGGGTTGGTTCCTTCGAGGGCTGTGAGCTATGTCTTTCTCCTACCTTCTGGTGGCCTCAGGCATCCCTTGTCTTGTTAGTGGTACCCTTCCTGTGTCTGCAGCATCTTCTCTATGCGTGTCTGTCGCCACATCTAGATTTCCCCCTTTTATAAGGTCACCAGTCATCTTGGATTATCGGCCACCCTAATGACCTGATTTTAACTTGATTACCTCTGTAACGATGTAGTTCCTAAAAAGGTCATATTATGAGGTTCTGGAAGTTAGGGTTTCAATATACCATTTTTTCCCAACTCAACCCATAACAGAGAAAATGATTGATTATTGTATTCTCTAGAAAATACTTTGCTGAAAAAATGAGTTGGCATTTCTCAATGAAAGAGGGAAAAACCCACAACACTTGAGAGTGAGTCTTCCCGACTCCATGACACCTGACATTCACAGCGGTCCATTTAACTGGATATGATGAGCAGAATTCGTTTTGACAAAGATCTGCTTCTTTCCACAAAGTGAGTCCCAGGACCTTTGCCCCGAGTGGTATTTCCCACACGTGCTTTTGGAATTGCATATTTATCATTTTTGGTTCATGACATTTTTGCAGAACCCCCAGGATGAAAATAGCACACCAGATCTCAGGCAGTTGGCATCTCTCTCCATTTATAGCACTCTGCTAAGCTCTCATGCTGTTTACATGTGATTTATATTCCTCCTGTGGCCCTAAACAGATATAATAAAAACAGATTTAGAATATTAATTTGACATGGTTCAGTCTGGCATGGTCTAATACAAATTTATTTATCTGTAAGATAAAGATACAGACACAGTTTTCTTCTCTTTCTGATCGTTGTAGGAATTAAAGATAAAGGATGTAGCACAATTTCTGGTGCCCAGGGTACATTGTTAAATGGTGGTTCCAGACTTAGTGAGCACTGGGGTTATAGGGAGGTGGTTAGGACAGGGTCTGCTGGGCTTCCCTGGTGGCTCAAATGGTAAAGAATCTGCCTGCACTGTGGGAGACCTGGTTCCATCCCTGGGTTGAGAAGATACCCTGGAGAAGGGAATGGTACCCACTCCAGTATTGTTGTCTTGAGAATTCCATGGGTAGAGGAGCCTGGCAGGCTACAGTCCATGGGGTTGCAAAGAGTCAGGCATAATTGAGTGATGGAGCATGCATACATGCAAGCAATAATATTTCACTGCTGGGCATGGAAATCAACAGATGGACCCCGTGATTGGAATTGGGAAACAAAGTAAGGTCTTGGGTCTGACAATCCTGGGTGCTGGTTCCCAGAACTGGAGCTAGGAAGAAAAAAGCAAAATAATATCAAGGTTTAAGCAGTGTTGATCTATTAGAAATGGATAACCAACAAAGTCCTACTGTCTAGCACAGGGAAACCTGCTCAATGTTATGTGGCAGCCTGGACGGAAGGGGAGTTTGGGGGAGAATGGATGCATTTGTGTATATGGATGAGTCTCTTTCCTGTCCACCTGAAACTATAATATTGTTAATCGGCTATACTCCAGTGTAAAATAAAAAGTTTTTAAAAGGCTTAAAGAGTGCTTATCAAGCGAGTCTGACACTATCCTGAGCACTTTAAGCACAACCTCATGAGTTAAGTACTATTGATTATCTCCAGTTTACAGATGAGAAAATCGAGGCTCAGAAACATGTGCATGATCACACAGCCACTACACAGCAGGATCGAATTTCAGACACAAGCTCTCTGACTCTAGGTCTTCAGCAACTGTTCTTACCTATTTAAGGCAAGTGCAATGACATCAGAGAAGCACTGGAACCACAATGCTGAGTATCAAAAGTGAGCTGAGCCATGGGAAAAATGGTCCTAGGTATTTCTTAGCCATAAATTTCAAGGTATAAAATTGCACAGACACTTCATGACAGTTAGAAAAACTGGTCCTCTCATAACAGAAGCTGAGCTGTAATAAACCTGCCCTGTTGCCAGAAGCTTGATTAATTCTAACAGAAAATCCATAACACAAAATCATCTTGTATTGAAAAATCTCTTGCCCACTTTACATTTCATTCTTGTATTAATATAAGACTTGACTCCTTTCATGGGTTAATCAATGCTTCCAAGGGCTCTCTGACCACTGATCTTTCTCACTGATTTGAGGCTCATTCATTTGATATGAATCTGATGTCTAAACCAGTTGTCCTCCACCTTACACATGAAGCCTTGGCACTGATAAGTATATTTGTTCACTTCTGAGAGTAATTTGCCAGAATTTCTACATTTCATAACAGTCTTTTCTTTCTTTCACTCCAGAGCATAACCTGCAGTAGCAGAACAAATCAGGCCAGTCAGCAAGCTGCCAAGTCCTGTGGGCTCCTTGTCAAGGAGAACAGCTGGACCCATTTCTAATCAACGTTCAACACACCACCTTTGGATTGCTGAAGGAGATCAGGCCAGACTCTGAAACCTTCCAAAGGCTTCCAATAGCCCCTGAATGCAAAAGACAAAGGGTGTCACGTTCACCCAAGAAGTCTACATTTAAACCTCTGTCCCTAGCATGGATGATGGTTATTGAAACAGCCCAAACCTCTATCACAGTGGAAGGAATATAGCTCAAGAGGCAAGCAGGCAGTCCCAGAACCGAGGAATGGATGACTACAAATATCAGGACAACTATGAGGGCTATGCCCCCACTGATGGCTACTATCGTGGCAATGAGTCCAATCCAGACGAGGATGCCCAGAGCGATGTTACGGAAGGCCACGATGAGGAAGACGAGATCTACGAAGGCGAGTACCAGGGCATCCCTCACCCAGATGACGCCAAGGCCAAGCAGGCCAAGATGGTGCCCTCCAGGGCAGATGGTCTTCGGGGCCAGGCAGACCTGCTGGCCGAGCGGATGGAAGACGAGGAGCAGCTGGCGCACCAGTACGAGACCATCATTGATGAGTGTGGCCATGGACGCTTCCAGTGGACCCTCTTTTTTGTTTTGGGTTTGGCCCTGATGGCTGATGGGGTGGAAGTGTTCGTGGTGAGTTTTGCCCTGCCCAGTGCCGAGAAGGACATGTGTCTCTCTAGTTCCAAGAAAGGAATGCTTGGTAAGTAGAAATTTTCAGAGCTCCTTCTCTTTGTGGCGTGAAAATCTGAAGTGGGAAAGAGCAGTATAATTTATATAGCACCTGTCACTCTTAGGTGTCTTAAATCTACCATAATGTCCTTGCAGCACTACCATTTTACATCCATTATTATCTCAGAGAATTTAATAGGCACAGGTTTACAAAGCTGATAGATACTGGAGCTTAGGTGCCTACTGAGAACTGTCTGACTCTCAACACTTTAGTTCTTTTTTCCAAGTCTTTTTAAAAAAAAATTGAAGTATGGCTGATGTACAGTATTATATAAGTTACAGTCATACAAATAGGGATTCACAAATTTTAAAGGTTATGCTTCCTTTTCCTCCCCCCCAAGAGCCTGATTTCTCTCTTCTTCATATTAAATCATCTTTCATATCCAAATAACAAATTTGTTTTGTGTGTGTGTGTGTGTTTCTTCCACTCAATCCTCCTCTCTATGACTTTCCAGAATCCATTAGCATCTGCTCCTGGTTTCTCTTGTATATAAGTATCAGTGGGCTGAATGCCCGTGTGTCTTGGCGATAAATGCTGGGCTGAGCCACCCGCAGAGCCCCTGCAGGCTGTTGGGAGCCACACTGTGAAGCACAGATGGAGTCCGTGGGATGGAGGATGGGAGCTTGGCAAATCCTTGATGAGACTAGCACCATCAGAGCCAGACTTCAGTTATCAGGGCTTGAGGCACGGAGAATTTTGTGAAGTTAGAGAGAGTGTGGGCTTAAATAGTGTGGCATAGAAGAGATTTATCAAAATATAGACAGGGCTTGTCTTGGACATTAAATGTCCTACAAAACATATTCATCCTCTAAATTCACAGTCCATATAATTGATTCTTTAGCAAATGTACAGTTTCAGAGAGCTTACCGTGAGTCAGGTTCTTACTCAAGACTGAGACACTTTAATAGTTATGACCCTGAAGAACTCAAAATCCATCCAGTTCATTCCTTCAAGAGATATTTCTAGTTTGTGTACCATGTTTTAGTCTTTCTGCTCCAGCCCTGAAGGAAAAATACTGAACAAGGTAGGTGTCCTTGCCTCTCAAAGAACTTATATAAAGTAGGACAAACAGGCATTAACAGAGAATTATTTGATTATGGTAGGGATGCATCCTTTCAAACATTTTGTGCCATTCTGGCCCCACTGCCTGCTTTAGAGCAGGGATTGACAAACATTTTCTCTACAGGTCTAGATGGTCTCTGTGGCCACTACTCAACTCTGCCTCTGGCGCAAAAGAAGCCATAGACAATATGCAAACAAGTGGGCACAACTGTGTTCCAATAAAACTTTATTTAGAAAAAATGTAGCAGGCTGAATGTAGCCCGTGGGGTTTAGTTCATTGGCCCCTGATTTACAGCCACAATAAATAGGACTAGGATATAAAATGGAGAAAATACCTGCATAAAGAACTGTCCCTGGAGGCTTTTAAAAACTGTTTTATAGACTCACAGATGTAGTAAATAGATTTGTGGTTGCCAAAGGGAAGTGGGGGTAGGGGAGGGAAGGAATGGGAGTCTGGGATTAGCAGAGGCAAGCTGTTATATATAGGATGGATACACAGTAAGGTCAAACAGGGAACTATATTCAATATTCTGTGATAAGCTATAATGGAAAATAATATGAAAAAAAAATACCTATCTATATATAGAGAGACCTATATATTTGAATCACTTTGCTGAATAGAAGAAATTTACACAACATTATAAATCAGCTATACTTCAATAAAATATTAAAAAAAGCATACAGGCCAATATCCCTAATGAATATAAATGTAAAAAAAAGTCAACCTTAAAGAAGTAAATTCTAACACAAGCTACAACATGGATGAAACGAGTTACACTAAATGAAATAAACCACACACACCCACGTTTTTTATTTACTCCTGTTTAATTAAAGTTAAAGGGACCTTTAAAATTATGAGATCTCTGTGAGGTATGGCTATCAGGAAACCAAAAGAGACCAAGTACATACAAACAAAAGAAATGACTCAAGAAGCAAGATGTCACTCAGAGTTTTTTTTTTTAATTATTTTAAAATAAAAAATTATTATTATTTTTATCAGCAAAATTCTGCTGTCTCTTCAAGTTTCAATAGACCTTTTTTAAAAGGGCAAAAACAAAATGAATCCCAACCCCCTGACCAAACGAAACAGTTGCCTGTTGATCTAAACATTTCCAAGACCATTATTTTGTTTTGTGATATTCTCAACTGAAACCCTAGATTCCTATTAGTCCGAATTGGTGTGTCGGTAATGATTTCATGCCCTCTTGGTCTCTCCACTAGCCTGGTACCCGAAAACCTCATTAACAGCCAGCTCCTGGGGCAAATGCTGGGAATTGAAGAAACACAGTCCCAATCTGGAAGACCCACGTTTGTGAAGTTTTGCTTTCAGTGTTTATGATGAAGATGCTATGACTCAGCCCAAGAGAGGCAGGCAGACCCCTGACAGAGATGGACTCCCAAATGCACTTTTGGGGCCCCCTTAATGGATCCAGCGGGGTGCGTGACTGGAGAGTCTCATCAGGCTGGCTTCTCCATGCGTTGTCTCGTGTTAGCTTCATGGTGCTTATAGGAATTTTTATCCCATTTGTACATATCAGGGAGCAGACTCAGTGAGCTGTATTCGATGGCACATAGTAATTGCTGGAGTTGGAATTTCAACCCAGGTCTTTCTGATTTTAGGGTCTGTGCTCATTCTGCTACACCATACAGCCTTTCTTTCATGCATAGTCTTTAGGAAGGATGTCATGCCGTGGGGCAGACTTCTCTCTAGTTATCAGGCACCCCATAGGGTACCTGAACACCATGAATTGCTTTCAACAGAGAGGTAGCATGGTGTGGGGGAATTCTGCCAGTGTGGACACTAGTGTCCGTCAACAAGGTTTTGGCAACTGGCTTTGTCATTTATCTTTCTTGGCGAGTGACCTTGGGCAAGTCATCACTTCTTTAATGATCAGTTTTCTTATATATGGAATAGGGTAATGATACATCTGTTGCAAAGATTACATGCGATAAAGCTGGTAAGGTCCATGCCCACTGAACTACTGTTAGTTCTTGTTCAGTTCAGTTCAATTCAGTGGCTCAGTCATATCCGACTCTTTGTGACCCCATGAATCGCAGCAAGGCAGGCCTCCCTGTCCATCACCAACTCCCAGAGCTTACTCAAACCCGTGTCTATCAAGTTGGTGATGCCATCCAGCCATCTCATCCTCTGTCGTCCCCTTCTCCTCCCAGCATCAGGATCTTTTCCAATGAGTCAACTCTTCATATCAGGTGGCCAAAGTACTGGAGTTTCAGCTTCAGCATCAGTCCTTCCAATGAACACCCAGGACTGATCTCCTTTAGGATGGACTGGTTAGATCTCCTTGCAGTCCAAGGGACTCTCAAGAGTCTTCTCCAACACCACAGTTCAAAAGCATCAATTCTTTGGCACTCAGCTTTCTTCATAGTCCAACTCTCACATCCATACATAGTTCTTGTTACTTTGTATTATTGCAGTCTCCCTGCAGCATTTATAGTGAGTTACAGTTCCCTGGTGGCTCAGTGGTAAAGAATCTGCCTGCCAATGCAGGAGATGCAGGAGATGCAGGAGACACAGGTTCAATCCTTGGGCTGGAAATATCCCCTGGAGAAGGAAATGGCAACCCACTCCAGTACTCTTGCCCGGGAAATCCCATGGACAGAGGAGCCTGGTGGGCTACAATCCATGCTGAGAAGAGTCAGATATGACTGAAGAAACTTAGCACAGTTGCACTGAGATCATGGAACAGCCTGGATCCTGCAGCCAAGTGGACCCTACCTCCTCCAATTCTTAGGAGAGTGACTTTGGGAATTACTTAGCTTCTCTGTGTTCAGTTTCCTTCTCTGCAAAATGCAGCCCCTAAGGATGTCTTACTTCATAGAATTTTTGAGGACTAAATGAGTTTAATGCATTTAACTTGCCTGAAACAGTGGCTGCCCATCATAGGTGCTCAGATATTTTAATTATTATTGCTAAGGTTGTTTCTTTCTTTTTTTTAAATCAACACATTCTAAGAAATAATTGTGCTTAGTCGCTCAGTTGTGTCCAACTCTTTGTGACCCCATGGACTGTAGCCCGCCAGGCTCCTCTGTCCATGGGGTGTATTTATTATTTATTTGGACCGCTCTGGGTCTTAGCTGAGACTTGAGGGATTTTCTTTGCGGCCACGGGATCTTCCATCTTCCTGGTGGCATGTGGGATCTTTAGCTGTGGCATGTGAGGTCTCATTCTCTTACCAGGAATCAAACCCAGGCCCCCTTCACTGGGAGTGCAGAATCTTACCCAGTGGACCACGAAGGCAGTCCCTGTTGAGGTTGCTGTCGTGACTAAGTTGATGGCTTGATCATGGTGACTCACCCAAATTCAGGACGTGATTTTCTCAGGTGACATTAAACATTCCTTTCACCCAAAATTTTTTATAGTAGGCTTTTAAGGTCAAGCTTCCCTACCTAGGCTGGTGAAAAGACCCTTTCTTTCAGGTGCTAAGCTAGTTCTTTCTTTCCGCTTCCTAGTGTTTTCTTATAAGACAATTTTTTAGAGGAATTTTAGATTCACAGACAAATTGAGAAGAAGTTATGTAGAGATTTAGCTTATGTCCTTGCCCCTACACACATATAGTTTCCTCCCATTATCCACATCCTCTTCCAGAGTGTACATTGTTATAACTGATGAACCTACACTGACACATCTTAATCACCCAAAGTCCATAGTTTATTTTGATTAATACCTTAGAGTATAATCTTGGTGTGATACATTCAATGGGCTGGAAAAATGTATAATAATACATATCCGTCACTATAGTGTCTTACAGAGTATTTTTACTGCCTTAAAAATCCTTCGTGTTCCATCTATTCATCCCTTCCCTCTTCCCCAATTTCTGGAAACCATGGATTTTTTTTTTTTTACTGTCTTCATAAGGTTTTGCCTTTTCCAGAATTTCATACAGTTG